CGTTCGTGTTTCCTGGGACACTCTCAGTCTCTCTAGGTCAGATCTGGAGTTCAGCTGTCCCTGGATGTTGTTAGATTCAGTCAGAGTTGTAATCTGGATTTAAGCTCTTCTTTGCAACAAGTTCTTTCTTGTGGGGCTTGACTTCAGTGTTCATCTTTGCTGTGTTTTAAATGGTTTCGTGGCTGCAACTTTAGATTTCAGCTTTCTCATGGCTATCAGTTTTGTTATTCCTGAAGATACAACTTGGATTTCAGCTCCTTCATGTTTGTTATTTGAGAAGCTTAAATCAGAAGGACATCTGTTTGACTGGGTCACTGGAGGTTGGGCGTGGAAGCTGCTTTTGAGATTTCAGCTGTTACGTATTTGCATTGTTGCTCAAGTCTTTTTGGAAGAGGCATCATGTTATATAGAAGAGGCATTTTGCCTTTGAGTGGACATCCGCCATGTGAGCAGAGTGAACCAGTGGCAAATGCAGCTCAGCCTGAGCAGAGTGAACCAGTGGCAAATGCAGCTCAGCCTGAGCAGAGTGAACCAGTGGCAAATGCAGCTCAACCTGAGCAGAGTGAACCAGTGGCAAATGCAGCTCAACTTGAGCAGAGTGAACCAATGGCGAATGAGCTGAATGAACCAGTGGCTGAGCAGAGAGCTGCAAAGGCCAGGAGTAAAAATAAAGGCGGCGGCAAACGGAAAGAGTGGAAAGAGATTGGCATTGAGACAGTGGAGGCCAAGGAATCTTTGCGAGAAGCCGCTCGCCGGTGGCTGGCTGAAAAGAAGATTATACATCGTCCACTTAACACCTCAAGTAACAATAGACACTGAGGCACATGGTGATTGCCAGTTTCTGGCAGTGCTCTTGCGCCCAGTTGTGGTACTCAGTGATCAGGAGCATGAAAACGAAAGACGCTTCGAGCCCCCACCGCTAATTCACTCCTCGGTCTGGGGACCTGAAGTCTACATAGTCCACTTAAACAACAACCACTACGAGGCTACGTGCCCACTGGCAAAGCCACGCACGAAGCAGGAACATGTGAAGCGTGAACCGGGCAACCGCTAGCGACTGTTGAAAAAGCCCGCTTGCCGAATGTATCCTTTCTGTTGCGTCGCCACATAAGGAATAGATTAAATCCAGAAACAATCTGTTTCATCAGATGTGCCTGTGTTGCAAGGAGCTTGAATCTGATACCAACCGCATTCAAACACACTCATCACAGACAGGCCATAGGAAAGGCTTAAATCTGGAGTTGACCCTTTCTTGGCTCCAAAATCCAGCCAATCCCACGACGACATCTTTGCGTCAACACCGATCTTCTGTGTCCTCAGAATGCTACTGGTCCTAGCACTTTGCAACAACTGGATCTGCCTCACAGGAGACATCTCAACAGCCTTTCTACATGCCGCAGCAGCAACAGCAGATCTCTTTATGTATCCACCAGCAGAGTTCTACAACGCCTTCGATCAAATCGTTTGGCGACTCAACAAAGCCATCTATGGCTTACGCAGCAGCACAAAAGCATGGCAAAATCACCTGGCAGAGGTGATGCAACAACTTGGACTACGACGACTCGTCAGCGAGCCCAACGTTTACGCAACACCACAGGGAGATGCATACATACTATGCTACGTCGACGACTTGCTCTTCATTGGACAACAGGAGACGGTCAACAAGCTGTTCAAGAGCATCCAGCAACACCTCCTACTCCGTCCGACAGGAGAACTCACAGTCGGCAACACCATCAGCTTTCTGGGCAGAAACATCTGCAACAAGGGTGACTACTATGAGATCAGTCTCGCGGACAGCTACACAACAGAGCTGTTAGAAGAAGCCAACATGCTCAACTGCAATCCAGCACCAGCACCAGGCACCAACACTTTGAAAGCATCATCAGAGATGGAACAAGAACTCAGCAAAGAATAACATGCAGCCTATCGAAGGATGGTTGGCAAGCTACTATGGATGACCTACACAAGGCCAGACATTGGCTTTGCAACAAAGGAGCTTGCAAGAGCACTGACGCAGCCAACAACAGCAGACCAGCAGAAACTGAAACACTTACTCAGGTACATCAAGGGAACACAACACTACAAACAATACGTGAGACCTACAACCAAGACACCAACAGCTGAAGCAGTACCAGACATCCAAGTCTTTGTCGACAGCGACTGGGCAGGATGCGCAACTACGAGGAAGTCAACAACAGGATTTCTAATCAAAGTCTTCGGCGCAACAATCCACTACGGAAGCAGAACACAGGCAACAATTGCGCTGAGCAGCGCAGAAGCAGAACTCTATGCGATCAACACAGGAGCAACAGAAGCCTTACACATCAGCAACCTCCTGAAAGAAGCTCTCAACATGAAGAAGATCAACATCCGCATACACACCGACTCATCAAGCGGAAAGAGCATGGCAACAAGGATTGGATCATCAAAGAAGGCCAAGCACATCGAGCTCAAACACCTGTTTATACAACAGCTGGTCGCACATGACCTCGTGAGGATTGTCAAGATCAACACCGTTCACAACCCGGCCGACATCTTCACCAAGTATGTCGCGACAGAGACGCTTTTGCGTCACATCAGTGATGTTGGCATTAGCACCCAGCGTCACTGAACAGCAAACAACAACAACCAGCAACAACAACAACAACAACAACAACAGTTTCACTGCAGCCAGGCGTGCTAATGTGCGAGCGCGTGCACAATGTGCGAACATCGTGCGTGGCATGCACACACAAACATACATACTTTTGAGCCATGGTGTCAACAAAGGTTGACAACATGAACTACCCCATAGTGATCCTCTATACTTCAACATGGAGTATATGAACAAGATACTCACACAGTGTTTCAACATGATCAACTATGTCATATACTTCTTCAACATGATGTGCACTACATGATTGTGGACGTGTATGGCAACATGTTTGTTTTAGACAACATGACAGACTTCGAGTACCGTGTTTCAACAGTTTCTGAATTTAGCATGTTTTGTTTCGCAGACCGTTTTTGATGATGTCAACATTTTGTTGACAACAGATGATGTTCACCGCAGCTTTGTCTGATCAACAGCTTGGTGAACAATAACGTCTCGAAGGCCAACAACTTTGAGATGGCCACCAAGTTCGTCACACCTGAGGTGACCAACATGATCCATGTGGCAACAGGTGTAGAACACTACACCTCGGTCTACAACCTTGTGGACATGAAGGAGTTTGGCAACATTTTCAAGGTCAACACTGTGGGCCAAGCACTCGCCACAGACGAGGCCTTTCAACAGATCAATCAGAGAGCCGAGGCAGGGATTCAACATCTCTTTGTGTGGTTCACACAGGAGGACTACAACAAGTATGTCAACAATGGCAATATGACGATGATCCCAGGTGACAACATGGTGCCAAAGTGGTCACATTGGATCTGCACAACAACGGTGCACGATTGCCTGACCACAGCGGTGTATCAGCTCTCAGAGCTGCACACCACAACTTCCACCTGGCGATGATCAACATGGTCGTTTTTGAATTGGATCCAGTCAATGCAGGTCATGCAACACGACATGGCATCTGCAGCTGGTTCAACAGATCTGGGTGCCTGACCCAACTGCAAATCGAGAAGGAATACAGGCTCAGCAACAAGGAGCTGATGAACCAACATCATGTCTCCCTGCATGGACAGGTGGCAGAGATCTTCAACAGATACAGCTGGGAGAAAGGATTTGGATGGACATACAACGTCGTGGTCAACACCGATGAAGCCATCAGTGAGGAGAGCCCAACACACTGGGCACACTATGCTTGCGCCAAATCATGGAGTATGGTGGAACACAGCTCATGGTTCAGGTCAACCAGACATTGGCCTACAAGCTTCTCCACTACGTTGAGAAGTTCAACATCAGCGTCGAGCCCAACACGAACTTGACCACAGACTGCATCAGAGGATCAACAACATTCTCTGGTCGATTCGTTGATCGAATGATTCAACAGGTCATCATTGAGACCAACGAGTTGAATCAACAGGAGGCCATGGAAGTTGAAGCTCCAACAAATGTGGAGCTTGGCAACACGTTGGTTGCCAACAACAACGCCTAGGCCAACAAGATGGATTGAAGAAAAGGGGAGAACCTGCAACTCCCTTGGCTCAATAGCCTAAAACAACAGAGATGCTGATGAGTGCAACAGGCAGTCCAACACCTGAGAGTACCGACAAATAGATTGTACACTAATACACTTAGACAACAGTCTTTTGTCAATACCTTAGTTTTATAAAGTGTACAGGTTGGCTGACCCAACATAGAAACAACATAATGTCGTTACGGTTCAACATGTTAGTAGTGAGATTTCAACAGAGTGATGTTTGAAACAACATCAATCTGAGGGGCGGTGTTAAGAACCAACACCCTCTCACAACATCAGTTGTGCCAGTGTACATATGTGCAACATCTCGGTTCAACAAGGCCTTGAGCCTATAGTTTACTTTTGTATGCCAACAGACAAAAAGGCGCGTACAGCAACAGCTGCAACAGACTGACAACAGGCTGCCTTGTGATTTCACACCACCACCCACCATCAACGTTCGGGCTTTGCTCACAGCCAGTTTTCAGATGCTTTCGGTGCAGGAAGCTGGGCCCCCGGGTTTCTTTTACTTTCCAAGTTGGGCCAGTTGGGCCTCTTCGGGTGTACTCTGCACATTCTGATCATGGATAGAAGCCTCAAAGGAAGCAAATAACCAAGCCAAATGATTTCCAATATGTAGACATCCTATATACAGTACATAATGTCTGCGTATACCTATCATACATATATAATCATACATATATGCGTGTATATGTATATACATCTCTGTGCGACATCTCTGCGGCCAAAGGTCGATGGTGTCGCTTCGCTCCAGCTACACCTTGTGCGGGTGGCTGGGCTGGTGCGATGAGTGAGTGGACACAAGTTTTGAATCGAATGGGCACACGGTTTTCAAAGATGCTCAGCTGACTTTCAGGCATTGCAAAGTTTGGTTCTTTCGCGAATCAGAGCCAATGATTTATATAGTTCTTCTATAATCTCCGGAGCCCTGCTGCCATGGGTATTACCCAAACAGCTACAGAAATTCTCCAGGGTATCGCCCAAATAGCTAAGAAGGCTTAGCCTTCATGCCTTGCGGATAAACACGAACAGTGAAGCACCACAGGACAGTTGTGGAGCATTGTGGAGCCATTAGCACCCTGCCCTGTGGCCTCGCCCAAACAGCTAAGAAGGCTTCGTGTCCTACCAATAAGAGGTACGAGCAGTGAATGCCCGTGAAATGCCAAAGGGAAAGCCTAGCACCCTCCAAAAAGAGTGCGTGACATGCCCTTCAGGATGGCATTAGCGGCCCCCCGAGACCAGACCAGAATCTTGTCTGGGTGCCTTTCAAGAAAAATAATGAATTTCACAAGTCTCATGTGTCGTTCAGCATGGCAATGGCAGCTCCCAATAGACCAAGCCCAGAATCCGGTCCGGGCCCACCAAAACATTTTCGCACGTACCACGCAAGTAGCCTGCACCCACCAACAAAGCAAGGAGGCCCAGCGTGAATTCGGCTACGATGCCCACGAAGCTTAGTTGGACAGCAAAAGGAAGTTCTCGCAGACCATGAAGTGCAGGTGATGAGTTCAAGGATCTGGGCTGCCCAAACCACTTCCGCAGCCGAGACCATGCATCTGTCTCTGAATTGCCCAACGAGACAACTTTCTGGGGAACACATGTCGTGGTTGTGGGACTGGTAGACTGCACAGGTGTGGTCAGATCTGCTACGGATGGTACGGACTCAAGTGTTGAGGTCCTCTTCAGAGAGAGTTTGCCCGACTTCTCCAATTCCGACATTCTCCAGGGGTCACCTTGCTGAACATTCGGCAAGTGCTCCAATGAAATCAGCTGCGTTGGATCCGCATTGTCTCCATTGGCATTGACTTTCAAGAGGCCAGGACCAGCAGGATTCACTGGTAACAACTCCCGGGTTACCACCTCATCCTCGATGACTTCCCCAACAAGGAGGAAAATCAGGACCCACAGAGCCGAAAGGTTGAAGGATGGAAACGTTGGACCTTCTTGGAAAGCACCGTAGGAAACGAGCCTGGCAACAAACAGAGAGATGATGGCTGCAAAGCGAAAGTAGCCAGCATAGATTTTCAACTCATCGTGGTATTTGCTCCAGCCCGTGGGCGCAAAGATTGCCATGGCTTTGGGCCCACTGCAGAGCTTCTTGCCCAGCTGGATCAGCATAAAGCGTGACCAACCAAGACGTGCGGAAAGGTTCAAAGCCACGCTCAGCATGGAGGTTGGGATCCAGTTCCAGCCGCCGCTTTGGATGACGCCGGATAAGGTGGCAGTCAAACGACATCCTTCCGCAAAGGCATGGGCGGACATGATCAAGCATGGTGCTGGAATGTAAAGCTGGTCACCCACCAAGGGCCCCTCTGGGTCACTTTTGTTTGAGTGGACAAAGCGGTTGTACATGAGCCGCGTGAAAATCACCATGCCGGTCTCGGCAAAGGCGGTCCCAAACGGCAAAAAAAAGTGGCAGCAAGAGACTGACCACTTGCAAGCAAGGTGGCATAGACTTGCGCAATCAACCCGAACAACACGAAGCATCCCACGGTTCCAGAAATCTGCGCTATCGTCCAGAGCAAGTGAGGGAGAAAGCGTCGGTTGGGGTTGACGCCAATGGTGTTGTAGTAGTGGACCGGGAGGGTCACCGAAATCCTTCGGTTCAATCCAGGCGGCAAGTAAACACATACTAATCCCCATAATGTAATGTCCATATGCTATGGAATCTCTATGGGATTACCATGGGATCTCTATGGAATTTCTCTGGTGTGTCTATGGGACCCCTATGATATGTAGAAGGGATTTCTATGGGATTTCTTTGGAGGTTCTATTGGATTTCTATAGAATTCCTATGGGATTTCTTTGTGGCTCCTATGCTATTTCGATAGTATTTCTATGGGATTTCTAAGGGATTCTTTTGGGAGTTCCAAGATATTTCTATGATATTTCTATGGGACTACTATAGGATGTCTAAAGAATTTCTATGGGGTTCCTATGAGATTTCTATAGGAGTTCTATGGGATTTCTTGTGGTTCCTATGCTATTTCCATGGGATTTCTAAGGGATTTCTGTGGGATGTCTATGGTATTTATAAAAGATTTCTATGATATGTCCAAATGATTTCTAAATGGACCGACATGAATTGAAAATATGAGTTATCCTTAGATTTCTTTTGATAAGGAAAACGAGTCGAAAGTAAATTGATATGAATCAAACTCCTTACTTATCAAAAGGACAGTCAAGACAGTCAAGTGAAAGTAGATGAATATCTATCGAAGTCCTTACTTAGATTCAGGCAATTAAATTGAGTTCCATTGAAATCCTTTCTTTCCAATTGATTTCTTGAAAGTTTCAAAAGTAAAATCAGTTGAAATCCATTGAACGCAAATTGAAATCAATTGAAATCTTTACTTAAGATATCTTAAGATCATGAACCAAAATCATTCAGACCCCGATCCCTCTTTAGGACATACGTGTGTCCCAAATGGTGAATTTCCCCCAGAATTCACCATACGCCTTCAGCACTTAGCGCCAAGAAGCATGGCCGTGACTCCCACCACGCAAAGGACGAACTCCGACAGTTGGAGAGGGGACACCGCCATGATGGCAACTGTCGCAGCTAGATTCCCCACCGCATGGATGTTGATGCTTGCCCGGGTCCCTGCGAAAGCAAGGCTGGTCATCTCGCAACAGATGATGTTTCCGGTGAGGCACCAATTCAATGCGGCCAACAAATTGCGAAACCAAGGGACCTGACCATCCGAACCACCATCCGCCTCTGTTTGAGCTGCCCGCAGCTCAAAGTTGATGGATAAGGAGATCTTGGCGATTTGCCACAGAACTTGGAAGAGCAACGCAAGTACCACAAAACGCTTCGAGAAGGTTCCAAAGGCATTCCTTATTGCTGGTTCATGCTGGTTCGCCACTCTTTAAAAAATGTGAATCTCTAGGAATCAGCAACCCAAAATCTTGCAAAGGCATTCCTGCTTGGTGGTTGACCAATTGAAAAAATACATGAGTCATCAGGAATCATCAACCAAAACAATGGAACCGTCAAAACATCCGAAACCACCAACTAGATTCAGTTCGGTATTGTGTACATCAACTTGGAGAGTCTCAGCGATCAACATGTCTGCATCCACCACCACATGTCCAGACATCTCCACCAAAATGTTGCCCGTCTCATCTGTCAAAGTCACATGCCTCGGATTGCCCGTGATGCCATAGCGAATGGTCAAGTGATGATTTTCGGAAAGCTCAATGCCATCTGGCCTTGGAAAGCGCGAAGTTGGGACAACTTGGTGAAAGTGTTGGGTTTATGGGGAATATCACGAGCTAGTTTTCATGGGGGTGTTACACAAACTTCCCGGCGCCTGGTTTACCGCGCGTGTGTTTTGGCATTTTCTCAAGAGTCTTTATGATGACCTTCATGTCTATTTCTTGGTATTTGCAGGACTTTTGAAGCAATCATCATCATGTTTGGTCACAAAATGTGGCTAGTTCCATTGCGTTTTATTTTTTCATCATTTTTCACTTGTATTTGCACGCTTTTGTGAACGCCAGGAGTAGAAAGAGGCTGTTTCAGGATGCCTTGTTTTTTGATGGATTTGCGTTTCGCCACAGGGAGACAACAAAAAAATCGGACTTTTCGGTTTTTTTCTGGCGCAGCACTTTCACTGCATGTTCGCTCGAAAAGTCTCGGCGTGTGCAAGTGCAAGAGACGAGGTCGGTAGCGTAGCATCACGTATGTGTGCAAGTGCAAGAGAAGAGACCGGTAGCGTAGCATCACGTATGTGCGCTAGTGCCATTGAACGTTATTAGCCCACCCCACCCCACCCCACCCCACCCCAACCCATCTATAGCGTAGCATCAGGTATGTGTGCAAGTGCAAGAGACGAGGTCGGTAGCATAGCATCAGGTATGTGTGCAAGTGCAAGAGACGAGGTCGGTAGCGTAGCATCAGGTATGTGTGCAAGTGCAAGAGACGAGGTCGGTAGCATAGCATCAGGTATGTGTGCAAGTGCAAGAGACGAGGTCGGTAGCGTAGCATCAGGTAAGTGTGCAAGTGCAAGAGATGAGGTCGGTAGCGTAGCATCACGTATGTGTGCAAGTGCAAGAGAAGAGACAGGTAGCGTAGCATCACGTATGTGTGCTAGTGCCATTGAACGTTATTAGCCCACCCCACCCCACCCCACCCCAACCCATTTGTAGCGTAGCATCAGGTATGTGTGCAAGTGCAAGAGAAGAGACCGGTGGCGTAGCATCACGTATGTGTGCTAGTGCCATTGAACGTTATTAGCCCACCCAACCCCACCCCAACCCATCTGTAGCGTAGCATCAGGTATGTGTGCAAGTGCAAGAGACGAGGTCGGTAGCGTAGCATCAGGTATGTGTGCAAGTGCAAGAGACGAGGTCGGTAGCGTAGCATCACGCATGTGTGCAAGTGCAAGAGAAGAGACCGGTAGCGTAGCATCACGTATGTGTGCTAGTGCCATTGAACGTTATTAGCCCTCCCCACCCCACCGTAGCCAGGTACAAGTGCAAGAGACCAGCCATCCATCTGTAGCGTAGCATCAGGTATGTGTGCAAGTGCAAGAGACGAGGTCGGTAGCGTAGCATCAGGTATGTGTGCAAGTGCAAGAGATGAGGTCGGTAGTGTAGCATCACGTATGTGTGCAAGTGCAAGAGAAGAGACCGGTAGCGTAGCATCACGTATGTGTGCTAGTGCCATTGAACGTTACTAGCCCACCCCACCCCACCCCAACCCATTTGTAGCGTAGCATCAGGTATGTGTGCAAGTGCAAGAGGCGAGGTCGGTAGCGTAGCATCAGGCATGTGTGCAAGTGCAAGAGACGAGGTCGGTAGCGTAGCATCAGGTATGTGTGCAAATGCAAGAGACGAGGTGGGTAGCGTAGCATCAAGTATGTGTGCTAGTGCCATTGAACGTTATTAGCCCACCCCACCCCACCCCAACCCACCCCAACCCACCCCACCCCATCGGCCAAAAAAAACACAAAAACGCACGTACGGTAAACCAGCCGCCAGCACAAACTTGAAACTGGGAGGCCTCACCTTCTGGAATATGAAACATCAAAAATATCACACACGTCAACTGCAGAGTCCTGTAGAGACTGGGCGAGAAGAATCCCCCTTTGCGTCAAGTGGATCCTCCAGTGGAACAGGATCCCCGAGAACTACCCACAAAAAAACAGAACAGGCCACTGTGGGAGTGCGCAAATTGCAGCATTTCCTGTGCAAAGATCCAACAGCATATGGCGCAACCGGACAAAATTGAATTCCATTCCTCTCTGCTGTTCATTGGCTGAATGCACTATGTCATAGCAAACATTGCTGTACTGTAGTGTATCGACCTTGCTTCTAGTGCAACCACTGACAGTGCCTGGCAATCTCTGCTTGGCACATCTGCAATGGCTATCCACACAAACCAAACCAAAAAACCAAAAAACCAAACAAAAAACCAAAAAACAAAAAAACAAAAAACCAAAAAAAACAAAAAAAAAAACAAAAAGACAAGACCCAACACTCTGCATCTGACCCCCTCCCCTTGGGGTGTGCAATCTTGGTTTTTTTGGTTTTTTGGTTTTTTGGTTTTTTGGTTTTTTGGTTTCTTGGTTTTTTGGTTTTTTGGTTTTTTGGTTTTTTGGTTTTTTGGTTTGTGTGTGGATAGCCCAGACCTTGCCCATGGGTCTGAACTTTTTTTTGTGTTCTCAAGGTTTTTGGCCAAACTGCAAAAAAAACATGGAAAAACCAAAAAAACAAAAAGTTCAGACCCATGTCCCCTGCCAGGCCTCTCCCAGACCTTGCCCATGGGTCTGAACTTTTTTTTTGTTTTTTCCATTGTTGTTTTGAATGTTTTTCATGTGAAGATGCTTTCATCACAGTACCTCTCAAAAAAATGCGCGTCTCTAAAATTTGCACCCCGGCGCCCCCCAGGCCAAACTGCAAAAAAAAACACGGAAAAACCAAAATTCATTTAATGACTTATATAATGACTAATATAATGATTAATATAATGATTAATGTAATGACTTATTTTTTCATGAATATAATGACTAATATAATGATTAATATAATGATTAATATAATGATTAATATAATGATTAATAAACTGATAAATAAAATGATCAATATCATGATTAATATAATTATTTATATAATGATTAATTTAATGATTATTAAAATGAAGAATTTAATGATTAATATCATGATTATTATCATGATTCATATAATGATTAATGTAATGGTTCATATAATGCCTAATGCAATGACTAATATAATTAATATAATGATTAATATAATAATTAATATAATGATTCATATCATGATAAATATAGTGATTCATTTCATGATTTATTTAATGACTTTTATAATGACTAAGATAATGATAAATATAATGATTTTTGTAATGGCTAATATACTTGTTAATTTATTGGCTAATTTAATGATTAATATCATGATTCATATAATGATTAATAAAATGATTAATATAATGATTCATTTAATGATAAATATAATTATTCTTTTCATGATTCATTTAATGACTTTTATAATGACTAGTATCATGATTATATTTTAAGAATGATTAATATAATGATTACTATTATGATGAATACAATGATTATAATATAATGAGTAAAATACTGACTAATTTAATGAGTTTATATATAATGAGTAATGTAACGATTAATACAATGATTAATATAATGATTAATAAAATGATTAATTTAATGATTAATATAATGATAAATACAATGGCTAATATAATGAATGTTAAAATGATTAGTATAATGATTGATATAATGATTAATATACTGATTAATATAATGATTAAAATAGTAACTCATATAATGGCTAATATAATGATCAATATAATGATTAATAAAATGATCAACATCATGATTATTATAATGATTAAAAAATGATTAATTTAATGATTATTAAAATGAAGAATTTAATGATTAATATCATGATTATTACCGTGATTTAAATAAATAATGATTAATGTAATGGTTCATATAATGCCTAATGCAATGACTAATATAGTTAATATAATGATTAATATAATGATTCATATAATGATAAATATAGTGATTCATTTCATGATTTATTTAATGACTTTTATAATGACTAAGATAATGATTAATATAATGATTTTTGTAATGGCTGATATACTTGTTAATTTATTGACTAATATAATGATTAATATAATGATATATATATAATGACTAATATAATGATTAATAAAATGATTAAAATAATGAATTATTTAATGACTGATATAATGATGATTCATTCTATGATTCATTTGATGATTAATATAATGATTCATAGAATGATTCATATAATGATAAAAATAATGATTCATTTAATGACTTATATAATGACTAATATAATGACTAATATAATGATTAATGTAATGACTGCATGGAAAAAAGTGCACTCCCACAGCGGCCAGCTCTCAAAAAAAATGCCTTTTGGAATCCGGGTGGCCCTGTCTTGGTCCAAAACGTCCGAGGCTTGCCCTGGAGCTTCCGAGCGAAGCTGGAGATGCCCATTGTGCCTTTGGGCGGCTGCCAAGTGAAGAAGTCGTACTCCAAGCCATCCGCCGAGGCGGAAAATGTAACCCGGGGATCATCTGGGCGCGTCAAGAAATGAGCCAGACGGCCTCCGGCTGCTAGGCGTCTCTTGGCAAGCACTTCATCTGCTTTGCCGCCATTGCCCACGATGATCAGGCAATGGTCTTTGAACCTTTGGTCATCCAAAGCCATTCTTTAAAGAAGGCAACTCCTGCGTTCTGAGACTTGCTTGTGAAAAAGAAAAAACATCTTGAGCCAAAAGTTGATAGATGAGAGAGAGCGTTTGTGAGAGTGCGTGCCTTGTTCGCATCAAATGGCCACAACATCCAATAACTTTGTAACATCCAAAATGGTTGCATCTGGTCTCACTACCAGGGCACTTCTCGTCAAAGACTGCAGAGCTGCTTCAGTCCCAACCAGGGCATGTTGGTGCGACCTTGGGAGACGATGGCAAAGGTCTGGTTTGCAACCACGCTTTCCAAAGAGCTGCTAGGCTATCCTACATGAGAAGTTGCAGAATTGTTGCTCCACACCTCAAGCATCCTCAGACTACCCTCTGGTAATCAAACGTGGCGTGCTGGAAATCATCTTTACCAAGGCACCTCTCAGAACTGGCTTCAAAATTGGGCTAACCCGTTACAATCCCAACAGCGAAAATGAAAGAGCGGAGATGCTCGCTCGAAGTGTCGATTCTTAAGGGTGTTTGCTCAGTTATGCTCGTTTTGTGATGCGGCTGGGGAGCTAGAACATCGAATTTTGCAGTGTGGCAATAAGTGTTTATGGCTAGTGGCTTGCAAAAAAAAACTGTAAATACCGTGTTTTTCCGGCAAGTGGTTTTAGCTTCTGGAGCGTCAATAATATCCGTATGCGCGCTGATTTTTGCTCCGAACACCCCAGCAAAACAACACCCTACATGTCACTTTCGGGGTGCCAAGAAGAAGTATAACAACAATGAGTTTTGCTCCACTTCCACACCTTCGGCATCGCCAGTCTGCGAAGCTGTGCTTCATACACCCAGGTCTGATAGGCCATCGTGGCTGCCAGAAGCTTCCCCTTCTCAAAACATCTCAAAACCATCGATTTTGTCTACCGGGATCTACCTGGATCTACCAGGATCTACCGTTCTAATGATTCTAATGGTTGCTTTGAACAGGGGTTCCATAGCAGACTCTAATCGTCACATGGTATGCCCCCTTGCACCATGAACCGCCGACTTTTTCACGAGCTTCATCAGGGAACAACCAGAGTGGGTGCAATCGGGGTCAAAGAAAATATCTAAGCCAAGTATTTTCCAATATAGACATCTATTAATCCCCTCTTCCTATTACTAAACCCCCCAAAAAAAAATACCAAAAGCTAGGGTCCCCGTGAAATTTTGGGAAATTTCCGACTGTCCAATTTGATTTTTAATTAATTCCCTTTGAAAAACAATTTAAACATGAAGGGCCCACTTGTATTAAGGTTTTTAATTTAATATATATTAGGGGAAAGCTTGGAAATCATTTTTTTGTCAATAGTTTAATTGGGTTTTAAAAGGAAATTAATCGATTTTGAAATAAACATTTTAGTTTTTGTACTAAGGCTTTTAACTTGATATTAGGGGAAGTTTCGCATCCTAATACTAAATACCCCCTAATACCAAAACATCCTAATATTCAGGGGGGGAGGGGGGGGCGACGTTTAGTATTAGGAAGAAAGGATTATACATAATATCTGTGTACAGTATACCAAAATGAATGTTCATTTTTTAACTGTATCCATGCGCAGAATAAATCTGTACGGATGGATAGCTATATGCTTCAACCGGCCTGAAACCCTGCACCTCCAATGACCCTCCGGCCTGCTGGAGCTTCTCAGACTTTAAACACCCCCTAGGTGGTTCCAAATAGGTTCCAGATGTGTGTAAATTCCCTATAAAACCACAGTTTCTGGAGTGTTGAAAATATTACGGGGACGGGATTTTTAAAGAAACTGCTGGTGTTCCACCAGCCAATGGATTTTGTTGCAAGTTCACAGGAAACATCCGGCGGTTTTAGTTGCCAAAATATAACAAAAACAATTCTGGGAACCAGTTTCCTAATCATCTTAATCCTTATAGTTATATCCAGAATATCCCGTAGTTATTGGAGTTATAAATCAACTTGTCATGAATCAGCCCAAAAGAAATATTCAGTGTATGTTCTCAACAAAAAAAACACACACACACACACCTACCTCTAACAGGTGATACATAGATTGGATAGATTAGATAGATTAGATAGATTAGATCGATTAGATAGATTAGATAGATTAGATTAGACAGATTAGATAGATTAGCTAGATTAGATAGATTAGATAAGAGTAGATAGAGTAGATAGGATAGATTAGATTAGATAGGATGATATTAGATAAGATAGGAATTAGATAGGATAAGATACGATAAGATACGAAAAGATACGAAAAGATACGATAAGGTACAATAAGATACGATAAGAAACGAAACCATACGATAAGATACGATAAGATACAAAAGATACGATAAGATACAACGAGATTAGATTAGATTAGATAGATCAGATTGGATTAGATTAGATTTAGATTAGATTAGATTATGATAAATAGATAATAATAGATAGATAATGATAGATAAGATACACTCGATTGATAAGATGAATTAGATAGATAGATAAATTAGATAGATAAGATAAATTAGATGGATGGATGGATGGATAGATGGCTAAGATAAGATAAGATAAGGTAAGGTAAGATAAGATTAAGACATGATAAGATAAGAGAATATAAGATAAGATATGATAAGATAAGATATGAAAAGATAAGATAATACCAGATAAGATCAGATAAGATAGATACATAAGATAGATAGATACATAAGGTAGATAGATAAAAAGGTAGATAGATGCATAAGATAGATAGATACATAAGATAGATAGGATAGGATAGATAGATCTATAGGTTGGTAGATAGGTAGATAGATACATATGTAGATAGAGATTTAGGGATATAAATAGATACAAGGATATAGATATAGACATAGATATTAGATATAGATATGTAGATATATATTTTGCTTTGTAATGTTCACCACATAATTTCTGGTCATGTTCCCGAATCCTCACCAGAATTTGCAGAATGGATTGGTTTTGTTGGGAAATCTTCACCGGAAACAAAAGTCTTAACCGTATTTTAACCCCAAACATGGAGGCTTCCTGCAGATTCTCCCTGAAACCAATCTCTTCAAATCAGGGATTGGTGCATAGTAGATGTTTCTGTCACCAGTATCACGCAGGGCAAGTCTCATATTTTCATATATGTTCTCTGACTTTCCTGCAGTAACCCTGTCCGATCCCTAGAAAACTCCAGTGATTTCTCCTTTTTCAAGCCGACTTTTCAATCTGGGCGCGCTTTCGAAGACGCACCAAGGGGAGCGTAACTTTGTACAGTGGCACCGTGGCACCGTGCCGCTTTCTGGTGAATCCTGTGTGATACAAATTGATTCCGTCAGCCCAGCCGCGCAGTGTGATCGATGTCCAGCAAAAACGATGATCATCGGCCATGATCAGGCCGTCATTTCATGAACAAGCCGAAAATCGACGCTTAAACCACATGATTAATACCATGATTCACCATGAAAATCGTATATTAACCATGATTAACCATTCTCCAGCAGAAATGGACCCAGTGAAAAGCCTGAGGATATCGATCGCAAATCCCATCACACTCTTACGCGCGAGCCAGGAGTGACCACGATGAAAAAAAAGCCTCGCAAGAAAGAGTGCTTTCCAGGCACCTCCTCAAATTCTAGCAAACTTGACCGCCTAAACCCTGCAAACCTCATAAATGTTATATTTCGAATGGCATGAATCAACTATTTCAGAGAATCCTACTTCAAACGAAATTTGGCTAGCCATTAAATGGCGGCATTTCATCATTTTCCCCATGAAAACTGCCACTTTGACTGAGGTATCAGCCAATCTGTAAAGCGCTGGCTGACTCGACTGCTGTAGAAAATAGCCCATTTAGTTCGATGATTTTCCTCCAAAAAATGTGGTGTTCTTTCATAGCTATAGCAGCTACACTAAATCTACCAGAGGTGATTTCTATCCACAATCACCTGTTCGAACTCTCGCCCAGATTTGTTCCCCTCTAACGGTCGCTAGATACGAACAAAATCTGATCCCTTTCTTTTGTGCATCCATTGGTCTCTCATTTGGGGTCAGTTTCATGATATGAGGAAGTGCTGAATCCGCTCACTCCGCGGCGACTTTCTTCTTCTTTTTCTTCGGTGCCTGTGGAATCTGGCGCCATGGTGCAAGCCCTCCCTTCCACCTTTCGTGGCCTACCCAGTTGTGCAGAAGTTGGTCAAACGAAATATTTGCATACCTTCAAGAAAGCAACAAATGGCCATGTTTCAATTGTCATTCTATTGATTACACACCAACCATACTGAGCCAGCAAGTCAGCGGCTGGCAAGCGGCAAGATGGGGGCCCATCAAAGCCTAGGTCCTAGGTCATGCCGCATGCCTGCCATGGGGCATGACTTGTTGGAGACAAGTCACATATTCCCTTGTAGCCAGGGTACGTAGCTGCTTCCTCCCGCCCAAACCAACTTCTGCAGTGGTAAGAACTACCAAAAGTGCATCCCAAATAGTTTGTTATTTACATCCTTTTCTTGTACTAAGCCCAAGTTTTTGGCTGCTGAACTCCAGGCAATTAGCGTGTCTCGAGCACACCTCCTCCGGAGTTTCTTCCTCTGCCACTTCGGCTGCCTTCTTCTTCTTTTTCTTGGGTGCCTACAGGCTAAAAATCATGAAGTGAACTTGGAACCCTTGGTTTTAACTAACCATGGAAAACCACCACTCTGGCCTTAAACTGGGTCTTTAATGCTGTGATGGAATATATAGATCAAAGGATTTTGTTGAATGTTCAATGTAGAAATCAGGAGATATATACATGACATGTGTTTATAAAATACTCCGCAGTGTATATTTGGGCGCAAATCAGTCCAGGTTGTGATTTGACAAATCCAATTTGAACGGGCAATCATCCCCTGTTGTGGGAGGATAAACAGGATAAACTTCCACCCGGTCTCACATCAAAAATGAATGTCAAACACATGTTTATCTCTATAAGTGATACTGTGTGTCGTAATCTGCGTCGCGTCCCGGTCCACGTCAATCCCCAGGTTTGATACG